TAGCAAGTGAAATCAAGATTTGCACTCAGCTCCGTAATCCTGAATTCCCCCAACTACTTAAGAACACAATGTCTCCTTGGTAGTATTAGTCACCTTTCTGTTACTATGACAAACGTCCCTTTGTTAACTGACTGGAAGAAGAGGGAAGGTTTATTTTGGCTCACGACGTCAGAGATCTCAGCCCACGGTCACTTGGCCCAGTTGCCTGTGGCAATGTAGTGCATCATGGGAGAAAGTGTGCAGTGAAGGACGTAGCTCACCTCAACTGAATTGGGGGATAAGGAGACGGGAAGGGATGAGGATTCCACGTGTCCTTTGAGGGCATGACCCCAATGATGCAATTTCATTCCACTAGACCCCACCTTCTAAAGGTTTGAGCATAATTCATTAGAGCCGTGGGCTGGGAAGCAAGCTTTCAACACGTGGACCTTCAGGGGCTTCACGATCCACACTGTAGTCTTGGAGCACATATTTTCTGAGCCAGAGTCCACAGCTTTTCTGCGTATGTCAACCACTCAGTGTTATTAACACTGATTCTTGATTCCGCTAGAGCACTGACTCATAGCTCCTTGAAGACTTGTGAGTCAAGCTGGATAGACACTGGACCGGGTCTGCATGGCAGGCTGCTGGGCAACGCTGGTGGTGGGGGTGACTACCGCAGTGGCCCTCAGTAAGCCTCCTTGTCCTCCTCCAGTCACTGCTCATGTCTTTAGCCATCAACAAGACATGCCGGTGGAAAAGCCTGGATCTGCATCACAGTACACAATTCACGTGCAGAGAACTGGTTGCCAGAAGCAGCCTTAGTACTCACTGGAGTCCCACCCACCCAGAGAACCAAGCTCAGAGTGCTGGGTGCTGCAAGGGCAGACAGAGCACCAGACAGAGAGCCTGGCAGGCTCCCTCCAGCAGCAAAAGCTCCGTGTGCTATGGGGTGTGTGAGCACAGGCAAGAGCCTTCAGTCTCCTGGAAAGGGTTTCCTTTGAGAAGAAAATCCTAGGACCCTTCAAAAATTCCACAGAGGAGTTAGTTGTTCCCGCCAATAACCAGGAGTGGCCAGAAACCTGGAATCCACAACCCTGGTGCGGGGGATAGTTCTGTTGTTATTTTATACATCGCCATCTGTACTTGAAGCTCGTATTTGGCTTAGACTTTTGTAGAGACCCTGGGATGTAGCTAGTGGTGCAAGTCTCAGAGGGGAGAACAGAATGAACTTAATTCACCCAGAGTCTGAGCTGGGGCTTGTCACCTACCCGGTCCTTTTTAGGAATCCTGAAAAGGCTTCCAGAAAGTTCCCAGAACTCTTCTCTTGTTCATTGAAGATGATCTTGGGAAGTTTTAAAAGCTGTGCTCCTAACCCTTACCTCTTTTGCACAATCTGTGTAACCTTTACCATGTTGCCAATAAAGTGGGGTCTAAAAGCTACTTTTCAACACTATGATATATCAGCATTTCAACTGGAGCCTTGACGCTTAACAGGCAATCCCGCTGAACAGGGTAGAAGTACAATACACATTTGTTCAACAACTTCTAAAAAATAACCCCCAAATTTCCATATTTGAAATGGACACTTACCAAAGACATAGGCCCCCTTTGTTTTTAATTCTTTAAAGAGTATCTTTTATGCTCTCAGGCAGAACTCTTTGCTAAGTGTTGAACACACAGAAGTCAGCATGCATCCGATAGCTAATGAAGGGACTATATTCAAAAGAGGGAGCACAGTAATATAGCACCTTGCTCTAGTAAGTCTGCGTTCCCTTGACATGGCCTCCCTCCCCTCCTCAGGCACATCAAACCATCATATAGACCTTCAACACACACTCTCTGCCACCTACCCCATGCCCTGGCACAAGTGAAGGCCACCTGAGTACTCTCTCTGTGGATTCATGCAAGGATAGATCCCGGCCAAATAATTACTTTCCAGGAACCATATGACTTGGTTCTGTTTCTGTAACATAGCCAGGGTGACATGCCAAAGAGTTATGTGCAAAGATGGATCTTATTCATTTCATGTCATTGTATCAGAAAAATCCACCATCAGGCTGTTTGCCCATTAATTAAATTGCCTAGTGAGGAGGGAAGAGTTGGGAAAGGATTCAGCAAGCTGTTTCTTCCTGTGTTTAAGTGAATTTATATTAAACTTTGAAAGAGGATTATGATTTTTTTCCTTTCTTAATATTGAAGCCATTTTATGAGTCAAAAATGGAAAAGAAATGTGATTATGTGATTTCCTTTTTCTATTAAATTATTTTTACTGCTATTTGTCATTCCTATATTTTCATTAAAACATGGTCATCCCTCAGAATAAAGATTGGATCTTATTTCAGGGTGATTACGGAAAAGAGCACTGGCCAAAGAATCAGAGAAGCTGCTGTTTCAGAACCACTTGAGGTTTAAACATGGAATGTTTCTCCCCAAGCCAAGGTGTTTTAAAAACTGTGGTCTTCGCGGCTGCCTTAACTGCCTACCTTCCTCTGAGCCCTGGTAGCTCCAGCAAAATGTATTATTGAGTATGTTAAGAAAGAGATCTTTCATTTTCTTTTTAGGAAACTGCTGAGATTAGTAATGAGTGTTCTGTTACAAAAGGCACCAAAAACCAGGTCAACAACCTCAGACTCCTGGGTGGAGAAGGCAGAGAAAATGGCGATGAGGAGGGAAGGAGGCATCAGACTGCCCCCTAGTGGCGGTCCGGGCATGACACCTGGAAGGTGGTAGGAGGGGGGCACCAGGTAGCATGACCTACAGAGAAAGAAGTGGGGGAAGGAAAAAAGGAAGGGAGGGAAGGAGGCACAGAGGGACAGAGGGAAGGAAGGAAGGACCGATCTAAGGAGAGATCCCATTCATCTCTTAGAAGGACATTTAAATACCATAGAGGAAAAACAGAAGACATAACGTATTTCCTGCACACTGGGCTCCAGCTCGCTGGCTTTCTTTTTAAGGTCTGCCACTTTACATTCAGTTCACCGCTCTGGTGAGCACAATGAATGTCGCGATTCCATTAAAACCCTCAAAGAAAACAAACCCGGGTCCTTCCGAGCGAGCCGGCAAGCACTTTAAAAGCTTCACATAAGCTGTCATTTGTACGTTCAGAAACCCATTAGGACTGCCTCCTTTGGAAATACGTGTGATTCTTGTCGCCTAATTTTAAACATTCAAATTTTCTTACAGTGACCCTTATCCTCAAGCACAAATTTCTCACGCCTCACCAGACAACGCAATCCATTTCCAGGATGCTGAGATGCGGAATGGATTTATTATAGCAAAGAGACGTGTCTGTCAGGAGGAAAATTAGAGCCCAGAGTTGGAGGAGTAGAATGCATTTGAACACTGGGAAATACAGCAAGGTGCATGTGGGGTTCAGGAGAGCTACAAGGCTGGGAAAGGAAGGTGGTTACCAATTGGATAATGGAGATGCCAGAGGGCCAGGCTGAGTCACACATCTCCTCTTCCCTCACAAAGACTTGGACTCAGGCCTGCAGGGACTGTCAAAGGCATGAAAACTCTGAGGCAGGCTCTTCAGCTTGAACCCTGAGTCTCTTGCTCACTTAACGGACTTGGGCAGAGATTGATGTCTTTCAAGGAGCCTTGAGAGCGAAATTCAAGGTAACTCATAGAAAATTCCATATTCTTTCATTTATCAAAACCAATATCTCCTTTTTTTTGCCCATGAAACGTGGTTTAATTAAATTCATGAAGTCGATGTGCTTTCCAGGTTCCCCTTGTAAAGGAGAAAGTATGTCTGTGTGCAAAATGAGGGATGTGGGCTTTGGAGCCAGACTGTCAGGGTTTAATTAAATGCCAGTCCCATCACTGACTGGCTGGGTGTCCATACTCTGCTCCTTAAACTCGTTTTCTTCATCACTATCTGCAATAGAACAAACAATAAGTGGCAGTTTATTATTTTCATCCTTGATATTTGAGATATAGTGTTTTGGGGTGCCCGCCAGAGATGACCACTCGGACACGGTTTATAGCCAATTCAAAGGCTTCATTCCAGCTGGCTGGGACTACACTCAGGTATTCAGGACCCAAGTGTAACATTTAGTGCTTAGAGCAAGGGGTTTTTATAGGGAAAAGCCACATCCTTGTATCTGACTCGGCAGCTGCAGGGGAGGCTTTATACAAGCAAGCAGTGTAACAGAAGCTAAGTTAGCTGGGGCATTGTGACCTCAGGTTCCTAGAATAAAGTTGAGTACTTTTCCACAGGGCTTCCCAACAAGAAGATCAAATTCTAGCTAAATCTAAAATGGCCTCAGCAAGAATCCAAGATGGAGGAACCTCGGCGCTGCCTTGCTTTCACAGTGTTTCTTACACTGTCTGGTCAAGTTGAGCAAGATTCAGGTGTTAACACATCACTTGGTGGTTCATCCCTTGCCTAAAATATAAGAGACCCTCGGTTTAATCTCCAGCAAAGCCAAAATAAATACAAAGGAAATCCAGATAGCAAAAATAAATCATTACTTGTTTAAAGTCTTAAACTGGAAGGTCCTTCGCAGAATATTTGATCTCTCTCTCTCTTTTTAATTTTTTCTATCTTTGTATCTACATAGGTGCCCTAAGACACACGTGGGGGGAGGTCAGAAGACAACCTGCATGAGATGGTACTAACTCAGGTCGTCAGGCTTGGCAGCAAGCCCCTTTATCTACTAAACCCTCTTGATGGCCTCCACATCTCTTTTTTTAAAGAATAGAATTATTGGGCTTGATATGGTGGCATGCACCTATGATCCCAGCACTCAAGAGGTGTAGACAGGAGGGTCAGGAGTGCAGTCATCCTCAGCTACACAGCAAATTTGAGGTCAGCATGGGTCAGGAGACCCTAGCTCAACAAATCAAAAGCAAAAGGAATGACTGCTCTTATTAGTATTCACGAAGGTGATATGCAGTATAACAATGTAACTTTAGATGTTTTATATTCAAACATATATATATATATATATATATATATATATAATCCACATCTATAGTATGTATAACATAAACAACACAGTATGAAATTTGGAGATTTTAGAAGAACACGGAAATATGCAACAATCTTAAAATTTATGGATATATGTGCAACTTTCGAGCTCATGCTATGCGCAGTTGTATAGTCATCTGCTTTTTATTCAACAATATGGTGTGAACATTGTGAAATTTGTTTTTTGAAAACATGGTGTTTAATTTCTGCACACATTTTACTAATGAATATTCAATAACTCAGTCAATGCTGTATCACCGAACGTTTGGATAGTTTCCAGTTTTTGCCTATTATAAAGTATAATGTTTATTTCTTAATTATGGAAATTCCAGTAGAGAAAGTTATGAACCTTCTGAGGATTTTACTTCCTGTTGCCAGATGTCCTTTCTGAGAAGTCACACCACTTTACACCCCTCTAGGAGCATTAAAAATGCATGCTTTCCTGAATGGTAGAGAAATGTTCGTGAGTCCCACAGGTGAACGCGGGCTCTCTGTCATCGGGTTTCATTTCCTGGATTTCTAGTGAATTTTAAATGTGCTTCCGGATCATTTGCAGTTCTTCCTTCCCTTTACTTGTGTTGTGTGTATGTGCTCGTCCGTGCATTTGCCTGTGTGTGTGGAGGCCAGAGAGAGCCTTCGGGATCCAAACTCAGGTCCTCAAGCTTGCACAGCAAGAACTCTACCTACTGAGTCAACTCCCCAGCCCATCAACTGTGTTTATTTTTCACATTAATTCGTGTGTGTGTGTGTGTGTGTGTGTGTGTGTGTGTGTGTGTGTGTGTATACACTGTGCACTTCTGGAGATCAGAGGTCAACTTTTCTCTCCTATCATGTGGAATCTGGGGATGGAATTCAGATCATGAGTTGATGGCAAGCACTTTTATCCTCTGAGACAACTCTCCTACCCAAAGCACGTATTTAAATAACAATTGTAAGTTTCTAGGGGACAGAGATACCTTTTGTAAGCATTACAGCTTCAATGGAAAGGTATCCTGGCATTGGTTTGGCTCAAGGCCTCTGGTTTCTGATACATCATCATTCCTGGATCCTCACTGAAACTCCTCTTGGGTATCTTGGCCACCCCAATTCATGGAGATCCTGTGGGTATGGTTCCACAGCAGGTCCTAGTTGGGGTAGATGTTAGGGTGAACCAACCCAAGACCCAGCTGTGGGACTGAGTAATAGCTGAGCTGGCCAATCCGGGCCACTGGGGCCATCTCCCTCAGGCGAAGGGCAGAGCCAGTTTCCATAAGCCCATGTCTTCAGGGTCAGTTCTCCCTTGCCCGTGGTGAGGGGCAGGGCCATCCCTCTTGAGTGTGGGGGGTCCAGCTCTCCAGTGAGGGTCGGGGCCAGTTCTCTTGCTGCAATGTCCAGTGAGGGACAGGACCAGCTTCCCCAGGGCCATTGAAGAGTGGGTGGGCTCAGGATGGCCCTCTGATTTCATCACTCATGGTTCCTATGGCTCCCTGTGGGTGGCACATAAAAGAGGCAGTTAGTGGTACTCAGGCCACATCCATAAGAAGCAATAAACATCATTGACTTTGAAACTATTTTTTCTCCTTCATAGTGTTGGACTTATCAGATTCCAGTCGGGAACTCTATCATGGAGCTGTGGAGTCTTGGGTGTCTTGATACTTCTTCTGAGTGCTGGGGTTACAAGTAGGAGCCATGAGGCACAGCTCTAGTTTGGAGGTTTTTTAATAAACATTGCCAGTTAACACTCCCTTCCTATCAAATTTTACCCCCCCCATTATTCATGAAGTATAGTGATCCATTGTCCCAAGCAAGATGCAGACATGTGTTATAGTTACAGCCTCACTCTTTGCTAGTCAAAATTCCACTCAAATAACAACTTCCTTCTCCCCTTATTTTGTAGAAAACAAAAAAACAGTCTCAGGGAAGTTGCTGCTGTGACTAACAATGATAAACAACAGGACCTCAGACTTTGGGAAGCAGAGGCAGGCTCAGAGAGAAGGGAGAGCTATTGATAGATCTGTGCTCTAACCTGACGCTGCCCACCTGGTTCTACACTGTTAGCCAGAAGTTCTTCAAAATGCTCACTTGGAAGGGAAATTCTGGGACTTGCAAATAAAGGAGGGCATAGGATCCCCCAAAGCAGTGGCAGCTGTTGTAGTGAAATGTTGGGACTGGGATGAATTTTTTTTTCCAAATACGCAAAGGCAAACTGATGGGAATATGGAAAGGCATGGGAGAAATAATATTTCATTTAGCAAAATTAGGGGCCTACTTACCAGCCTGTTTTAGCATCAACTCCTGTAATGATTTTGCCTGAAATGGAAATGAGTTAGGAATCAAGCAGTTTGAGAATAAGCTCCAGATGGGGACTGCAAGCTATTGGGTATTATGAGCCCGTCACACTCCAGTCAGCAAAGCCAGACAGTCATTGGGCGATTGGGTATCGACTTGCCTTGGAGGGCTCCCTCTTTTTCCTGAATAACAACAGATCATGGCCTTCTTAGAAAAGTGCTCTGTGGCATTCTTATTGATCAGGCGTCAAAAGGGAGCAGAGCTGTGGCAGGGGGTTGGGTGGCTCCCTCTCTACCTCCCTGGGACCATGGAGTCTTAATTTCTTCTATTCACTGCCAAAGGACTTCGCTCATCTGACTAGAATTCTCAAGGCATTCCAAACGGTCGATTCATAGTTCCTCCTGGTCAGTTGCTCTCAATGTATTTTCATACCCACTCTATGTTGTCAAATCAACTGTCATATGAGGTACAAGAGAAAGCCCTTGCCTCTGGATAGGAGACACTTAGAAAAATGTCACCCTGTTTCCTTCCAGATCTTTCTAATACTTTCTTCCATGGAGAGAATCCCAATGGCAAGTACAAAGGGAAAAGGCTCATTTGGAAGACAAAGGCACAGTAGAACAAGTATTTTCTTAGGGTATTAAATAGTGATCTGCTAATTGTTGGATTTAGATCACAGAAAACGGCAGATACAGAGGTGCCTTTTTGAAACAGGCTCTGAGGCTGGTGAGATAATCCCAGCACTTACTTGGGAGGCAGAGCCAGGTGAATCTCTATAAATTTAAGGCCAGCCTGGTCTACAGAGTGAGTTCTAGGATATCAGGGAATACATAACGGGATCTTGTCTCAGAAAACAAAAAACAAACAAACAAAACACACACACACAAACACACACAAATAAATAATTAATAATGAGAGCGAGTCTGCCAACCCAAGTTGGATTTCTGGAACCCATGTAATAGTATGTAAAGATGGAGGAAGAAAAAATGACCTCACAGAGTTGTCCTCATACCTCCACACACTTCCTCCTACACACACACACACACACACACACACACACACACACACACACACACACTAATAATGAACGAGTAATTTTTTTAAGGTGAAAACCTATAGTGGAGATTGTTTTTGACTTGTGCATGCACATATACGCCATGCATACCCACTTACAAAAAAGCTTTAAATCTTATGTCCCCCAAACAGTCACCTCTGTGATGTCACTTCTGTGATTTCTTGAAGTGTTACATGTGGGAGTCTAGTTCCCACCTTTAGAAGAGTTCTTAGGTGGAGGAGAGAGGGATAAGAAAATATCAGATAGAGAGAGAGACCTAGATGATAAGAAGAAAGACAGAAACACAGGATAGCTTCGAGGGGGCCTGGGTCAATATCCAGCAGCCCCAAGGTTTATTCAAAAGGACTTTTTATAATATGCCAAGGGGAGAGGCAAAGGACCTCCCCCTTGCAAGATCAAAGCACACTGTATAGCCAAGTGTAGACCCTTCCAAACACCTGGCAAACACACCCATGGTCAAATCATCCATTATGCAGTCCTGCTAATGCATTCTCTGACCGTGAGTAATTTGGGCCCCCACAAATTCCCCCTTCTTAATAATATAAATCTCAAGTAAGTGCAGAGCTTAACTCCATGCAACTCTGAATCTGTTTTCCCACTAAGAGCTTGCAAATAGCTGGAATAATCATAGCAACACTCCTGCTCCTTATGGCTGTTATATCTCCTAGTAAAGGAGTAGAGGATGATAAAGATAGAATGGCCTTTTGAATGGGTCTAAGATGTCTACAGCAGTCTTAGCTGCACCAAGCCCTTTTTTAAATCAATAAACTCCTGATGCAACTGCATCAAATCTAAAGACTCTCTTAGCTTCACCATACCATGGTTCATCAACATCAACAAGTTAACATAATTCTAGCATGAATATTACTGTACACAATTACAATTTCACAAACTTACATCTAAAAGCAAACTCTCAATAGAACTATTTACACTTTACAAACTTTAACAAACATCCAAAAGCAATCTCTTAATAGAACTTTTTGCATTTCTTGCTAACAAAACATAGGGTACATGAACATGAGTTATCATTAATCTACTAAAGGGACAAGAAAATATTTTTTTTAATTAAAGAGACTGAGGAATATTAACTCCCCCTTTTCTTGATAATTTTTTAAGCTTCATCTTGAGCCTGGGTAGAAAAAAAACCCAAACCTCTCAATTTCTACACAAAACCAGTTCCATCCATTCCTATATAATAGTTCCATAAACAGTTCCATTTCTACACAAAGTTCGTGAGTCACCACAGTTAACAAAACAAATATGCATACACAAAACAATTTATAAGTCATCACAGTTAATGAAGTCTATACATATAAGTGAACTCAAAATTGTCCCATTTTGGCTTTTTCACAGCAGAAAGCATGCAGACCCTCTCTGCTCTCACTGGCTCTCTTTATACTTTCACTATATCCCTATACCTAGATCTACATTTCTCAAACTCTGTGATTTACTTATATTACACTTTTAGACCTAACTTAGTAGATAGATAAAGATTGAGAGAGAGAGAGAGAGAGAGAGAGAGAGAGAGAGAGAGAGAGAGAGAGGGAGGGAGGGAGAGAGAGAAACAGAGAAACAGAGAGATACTTATTGCAGCCTAACTTGAACTATTCTGCTTTATATTTACAATTTTACTCCCGAAGAATAGAATATCACCACCTCAACTTAATTCATTACCAGACATGCCCCCTTAACCCACAGTGCCCCCCTCTCTTTTATCCTCTGCACCTAAGCACCATGTTGGGCACCATCTGTGGAAATCCAGCTCCAACTTTTAGAAGGGTTCTTAGGTGGAGGAGAGAGGGATAAGAACATCAGATAGAAAGAGAGACCTAGACAATGAGAAGAAAGACAGACAACACACAGGACAGCTTTGGGAGGGCCTGGGTCAAAACCCAACAGCCCCAAGGTTTATTCAAAAGGGCTTTTTATAATATGCCAAGGGGAGAGGCAAAGGACCTCCCCCTTGCAAGATCAAAGAACATCATATAGCCAAGTGTAGACCCTTCCAAATACCTGGTTACCACACCAGTGGTCAAATCATCCATTATGCAGCCCTGCTGGGTAAAGCAAGCCGCGATTCTCTCACCCTGAGTAGTTTGGGCTCCCACAGTTACAGACCTGGAGGTTTACGAAACGCTTTTAGATTTCTTTTCATTTGGTCATCACGTGCCGAAGAACAGTGGGTGTTTCCCACCCATTTCCTAAATGAAACTGTGGAGGAATGTCAGGTGCTCTGCTCAAGGCCACCTAGCTCCCTGCAGCCGAGTTTGCTCTCTGTTGCTTCTGAGTGTGTCACGGTTCCAGCTGTGTTCTGCTGTGGACAACAGTGTATTACCCTTGACACTCTTTGGTGGGTAAACTTGCCTTGGTTTTGTACCCAGGCACCCTTTGAAGTGTGATTTTGAGCTGGGGAAAAGCTGTTTTAATGTACCCTAGATAGGCTTAGCAGATTTTTCCCTAGCATGTGCCCATGACTAAGAGAACACAGTGTCTCAAGTAATTTCCTTCAGTTCCCTTTCAGGGTCTGTTTTCTATTCCTTCCTTCTTTCCTTCCTTCCTTCCCTCCCTCCCTCCCTCTCTCCATCCTTCCTTCCTTCCTTCCTTTGTCTTTCTTTTTGTTAAAACCATGTCATCAGAAACAATTACCTTTCTGAACACACTGGAGATATACAATAACCATTAGGAAAGACAGCTTGGTTAAAAATTACTTTTGAAACAACGAGAGTAAGTTAAAAGAGAGTGATTCTTTCTGGTTTGAGTTAGAAGCAGAGAGCATTCCTCAATAAACAGTCCTGCAAAAACCAGCTCACCTTTAAGAGAAAAGACCAGAATCTCCCTCCATTGTCCCCCTACTTCTCCCCACTTGGAGGTGAGGCTGCTTCAGTACTGGCTGGAGAGAAGAGCTTACAACCCGACCTCTCTGAACACATACCTGGAAGTCTGAAGAGACAGGCAGAACTCATCAGAAACAGCGCTCTAATCCTCAGGAAGTACCGTCCTAAAACACAGACGCCATAGCAACGGCTGATGTGAAGTTGCCGGGACATTTGTGTTGTCATGTAACCAGGATTAGTTTCCTTAGGCAGATATTTCCTGGCTCCAGACAGCTTTAGAGTACCTAAGAGAGTGGAAAAGTTTATGATCAGCTAGGAGTTATGTCAAAATCCTCACTGATGCTCACTAATTAAAGCAAGTTTTGACCAGTTTATTTTTAGGTTTTCCTAAAACAGAATCCCAAACCACAGCATTAAATAAATGGAATTTCCAACAAGCGAGGGTGAGAAGTTTGTCGGGGTTCTTCAGGTTCACCTTCGGCTCAGGAATTATCACCTCCGAAGCCTCTGGGCACTGATGTCACAGGAGAATTTTCCAAATTGAGAATTTGGGTCTCTTGTTTTATTTTTGAGGTCTTTAAAAGAAGAAATGATAACCTGTTATATTCCTGCTATTCTGTGGCAGCTGTTGAGAGAACAGAGAGCCAAGTGGGTGACTCATTGTCCCTTGAACACACCGCTCACATTCCTGCCCCCACCCCCACCTGTGTCCCTGCTCCACTCTGCTTAGAGCCTGCTCACCACCACCCCCCCCCCCCCCACTGCTCTAGGGGACGGTGGCCACAGGCCATCATCATCCAGGCTCAGTTCTTCTCCCAGGTCAGCTCCACTCCTCTGACTGCCTGGACCCCTCATCATCTGTCCAACACTTACAACTTGGCTTTCCCTGTCTGCTTTGGATAATTATCTTTCATGTCCTACCTCTGAGTTCCATCACTGCCAACATGGCTTTCTCTCTTTCTGTCTTAAGAAAGAAAGAGAGAGAGAGAGAGAGAGAGAGAGAGAGAGAGAGAGAGAGACAGAGAGAGAGACAGAGAGAGAGAGACAGAGAGACAGAGAGAGAGAGAGAGAGAGAGAGAGAGAGAGAGAGACAGAGAGAGAGACAGAGAGAGAGAGACAGAGAGACAGAGAGAGAGAGAGACAGAGAAAGAGAGAGAGAGAGAGAGAGAGAGAGAGAGAGAGAGAGAGAGAGAGAGAGAAAGAAAGGCCTGACAGTGTGCTTCACAGCAAATAGGTGCCCCCACCCCCAAACTCTGCTCACTAGTTTGTGACTCATTGCCTCTCGGTGCTTAGAGACAGGACTGTATGTTCCTCAGGACAGCAAAGCTGTCATTTCTTCCCTCAGGTTTATACAGACTGGGTTCTTGCTAGCGTCTCTCAGAGCCAAGGTCATGCAAGAGGACCACAGCACTCTATTTGAATGTCTGCTCCTTCTTATCTGGGGCTATTATCCCAGCCAATGGCAAAGACATAATTTACAATTATGAGAACTCAGAAAGGCAGACTGTCCTGCTTAATGGAATGTCAAACCCAGCTTTGAGAAAGAAGGTCAAGAAGATAAGAAGAAGAATATACAGCTTCAGCTAGGGGAGCCCCCACACCCCGCCCCAAGTGGGAGAAATACCTGAGAGATTCAGTGTGGGGTCAAATGGCCTGTTGTTGCTTTATGGGTTCACCTGCTTCAAAAAGGGAGTAGAACAAACAGATTCTAGCTCCTGGTGTGAAAACGAGGCTCTTTCCTTAGGCAGCTGACGGAGCAGGAGAAAGGAGAGAAAGGGACAGAGACAGTGAAATGTTATCTAGAGAGTCAGTGAGACAGACGCCTCTGTGAAGATCAGAGCCGGTGTGAAAGTCTCTCGGGGTGGGGGTGGGGGTGGGGATTTGCCAGAGCAAAGGATTCAGTTGCATGGGAGAAAATGTTAGGGGCATTTTTGCCTGACTCTACAGAAAACTTTGCTGAGTTAAGGGGTAAGTAATAGATCTGAATCCTGACTATCTAGAATTACAGGGCAGCGGCATAGCAATTAGAAGCAAGGGCTTGGAGTAGCAGGAACAGGGTTCAGATCCCAGCTCCGTGTTCCTGAGCCTCAGTTTCCTGAAGACAAAGAACGTCTCCCATGGGGAACTGCACAGAGAACATTAAGTGAGGTATTGTAAGTGGTTAGTACAGTCCTCGGCTCCTGATAAATAGTAGCTCCATCCATATAGACAGATGGGGTATTTCTTGATCTCTTTTTAGACAACTTTGGCTTCACAGTGCCCTGGGGATGCCAAGGAGGGACACAAGCAGGCAGAGATTCTCCACAGAAGGACTAGCCAACGCATTTCTAGGAACAATAACATCTGATGTTAAATTTGGAATTATTTCCTGCTCTAGGCAATAATAGCTCTGTCTGTTCTCATTAGCCACAACATCTTCAGAAAAGTCTGTTATGTACAACTGCTTTGTGTTAGTGGTGCTTTACGACAGAGAGGAGACAGGCGAGGTCTGTGCTTTGCCTGCGTCTCAAGTGGGAGGGAAGAGATAGAGCAGGAAGCAGCATTTGAAAGCTAGGAGTGATGGATGCACCGGAGACCAGCCAGGGCGAGAGGCCTCTGAAGGGAAATGGAGTTCCTCTCATTCACAGCCATCACAGGTAGAAAGAAAAAAGCCCCGGATGCTGTTTTTCCTGAGCTAATCAGCGCAGGGCTGGAAGTGGACAGAAAGGCTGTCTGGGGCTCTCTGCCCAGCAGCAGTTTATCACTTCTGGTTCCATTCAGTGACTCACCTAGAGTTTCTCTAGCACATTCTAATTAGTCTGCGCCCAACACGTTGGTAAGGCCAGCAGCGCTGTCCGCTGTGGCTTTGTGTGCTGGAGGGTCCTCAGGTCCCCAGCCTCCGATATGGGTGGAATGCAAATGAACAGCAGCATAAAAATTACGTGACTCCAGATGGGACAGTTTCTACGGTTTTCCAAACATTCTGCTCGGGCTGCGATGACTGTTCCTGACTGGCTGCCCAAACGCTCACTGGAGAACTAATTCACTGAGTTGAGCCCCAGCCACTGCAGCCACTACCTACCTCACTCTTGGCTCCCTTTTGACCTTTTACCTTCTCTCATCTATAAACTCCACAGGTGCAGACACCTGTCTGAAGTTTCTAGAATTTCTCCAGACCGTCTCCCACTTGTTCACCTGAGAGTATCTGTCCTTCTAAGCCCCCCACCCTCTTTCTCCTCTTCCCCTCCCCCAATTTTGACTCTACACCTCAACTTCTGTGTTGGAAGGGACCCCAACCCCCCTTTGGACAAAACCCCAATTTTTCTCTACCCCAAACTTCTAGGGCTAAACAAAAACCTGTAGAACTCTAGGCAGAGAGAAACACGGAGACTGTGAAATTTATGTTTAGAAAACCAGAAGAGTATCACTTCAATACTTTGCGGAGTGGTCAAATGTTCTTCCTGCCCTCAGATTTTGGAGGCTGAAGTGCAGGTGCTCAGAGGCCATGGTTGTCTAGTATTCTTTCTTACCTGTCCCGCCTCTCTGCTCACTCACAGGGCCTACGTTGTTGCCCGGCCCAGCCTGTCCAGGGGTTCTGTGTTGCTTCAGTCACCCCAAGCTGAAGTTTTAAGGCCTGTCTGTGGCAGCAGGAAGGTCCAGCCTCTGATGAACTGAACCCTGAACAGCCGTACAAAGGTGTATTTATTGGTTGTTACACAAAGTTGTTTTTTGGGTAAAGTATTTCCTCATACCAAGGTCCCTAATCTAATCTACATGTCTCTCTAAAGGAAAGCATCACATGCCCTCATGACTCTAGTCCTTTACTGTGTATCCTTTGCAGTACACAGTAACCCAAGAGCCTCAGGTCTGCCACAGGCATCTCGTGACCAAAGTCATGCGAAGCCTGTGACACCCCTTCAGAAAAACAATTCTACCAGTCACAGAAAACAATCACTGTTTTCCATGAAGGTTCTTTATTGTTTATCACAATGATTCTTCAAGGTCAAAGTACTTCTAGAAAATGATTCATTCTGATGTCTATCTATCCCAGATACAGCAACTCTGCTAAATTCCTACACCACCAGTCTTCCTCATAGAAGGGCCAGCAGAGCTGGCGGGCTCGGTTCAAGCTGACTTTTTGTTCCTTTCCCTCAGCAAACCCACCTCTTCTCTTCCCTCCTGTCTCCTGGGGACCCCATGGGTGTCTGGTCTGTCTCTTCTTTGAATTGACTGCTCCTTACTGCTCTTCCGACGGAGATGACTAAAGCTCCCAGGGACAGGCTCCACTGGAGTTCTGTGCTGAAATCTCAACAGTCACCCCTTCCTCGAGGCAGGCTCAACCCTCTAACTGGTGGTAGGAGGGGTGGTGAAAGCAATCTAAGCAACAGGCTGTGACAATTGTTCTGAACCCAAACAAATTACGCGGGTCACCGGGACATCCATCACTTCTCACTGCTGGGTCCGAATGCCAGTGGAGACGATCATGCATAATTTATCCTCTGATCAATGGGAACCAAAGGCCATGAGAGAATATCGGCCCCCGAGGAAGACCTCTTTCTTGCCTGCCTCCCTCCTTTCCCTCTGCCTCTTCCCTTTCTTTCTTTCACTTTCTTTTTGTACAAGCGCATTCTAACAAAGACTTGCTTTTCCCACTTTCCTCGTGACGTCATTCTCCCTGGCATAACCTTCCCGGCATTCCTTCCCAGACCTCCTTTGCAATCAAAGGCAACTGCCAGCCCACTTATGGTTCTGGCTTTAATTATCGGTTGTTTCCACTGCGCCCGGCTTTTTCACTGTTGTCTCGTAGGCATGTGGAGGAGGCTTGGTTGCCAGGAAGTCTAGGAATGGTCTCTGCTAACCGGGGTGCAGCCCTTCCCAGCCCTCATGCTTCCTGTCACCCATTCTTCTGTTCTTGGTGCCCTCTCCTTGTTTTCTCTTTTTTTTTTTTTTTTTTTTTTTTTTTTTTTTTTTTTTTGGTTTTTCGAGACAGGGTTTCTCTGTGTAGCTTTGCACCTTTCCTGGAACTCACTTGGTAGTCCAGGCGGGCCTCGAACTCACAGAGATCCGCCTGGCTCTGCCTCCCGAGTGCTGGGATTAAAGGCGTGCGCCGCCGCCGCCGCCGCCGCCGCCGCCGCCGCCGCCGCCGCCGCCGCCGCCGCCGCCACCGCCCGGCTCCTTGTTTTCTTATTGGGTCTCATGTCCCTGATGAGCGATCGGGTCTCCTGTTCCTCTAATGCTCATTTTATTTCCTATAATTAACCATTAATCTCTTCCTGTCAATCCCTTTAGAATTCCCTGCCTGTTTACCCCCCCTCTTGCCTCCTAGTAGACACAGGCACAGCAGAAGGCAAAAGGTGGGGATGTCTTTCTGGATGCTGTGAATATGTGTTGCTCTGAATGGTTGATAAATAAAACTGCATTGGCCTATGGCAAGGCAGCTTAGAGGCAGGCGGGAAATCCAGGAAGAGAAAGGCAGAGGTGGAAGAGACCCCAGCCTGCTGCCCAAGGAACAAGATGCCAGCAGACCGGTAAAGCCACAGAACACGTGGCAAAGCATAGATTAATAGAAATGGATTAATTTAAGTTATAAGAGCTAGCTAGCAAGAAGCCTGCCATAGGCCATGCAATTGGTAATTAATATAAGCTTCTGAGTGATTATT